GTTTGATGGTGGATCGGGGAGGGGGAGTGGCGGTCTTATGTTTGTTTCTGAATGCAATACATAAAACGCATATTGCGGAGGGTCTTTTTATTACTAAATAATCAATCTGTTGGTCTTTTTTTTTTTCCCCCCATATTGCACTAATTTGCAAAGACGAAGCAGCACAGGTGGAGGTAATGCTGGCGAACCAACAGAGCAACAAACCGGGGGTTTTACAAAGAAAATGAAAGACAGACTGTTTCGTTCAGTGGCGAAGGCCTTTGCTTTTTCAGTAGCAAAGGATGCGACGCTATACCCATCGGAGGACAATTTGTTCACGGCACTGCAAACAACTGCCAAATTGATAAGAGAACATGCGGAGGAAGGACTACGGTTGCACGTGGCAGCGAACGGAATCCGAGCTGTGATCGGGGAATGCAATTGGATTATGACAACGGTCCAAGGCGAGATATCATTGCAATTGAAGCATTAGTTTTGGGCCGAAAAATGTCTGCCGCTGGTCCGGTCAGCTCAAACGGATCACCAGTTTCCGAATCGCAACAGGATGCGGGCAGAGATGAAGGGGAACACAACATGGAGAAGGAGCGGCAATGATCCGTGGGGCGCTCCTCCTTTAAAGACAACACTGACAAAAGTTTTTCAAATGAGAAGAGATGGTATCAACCTTGGCGTAACGTTGCAGCAACTAGCATTTGCGGAGCTAGTACTCAAAAGTGAAGTCGAGCAGACGGCAAAGACCAGTAAAGCAGCGGACCAAATACAGAAACTTGCAGCTATCAAGAAAGAGATCGCTGCATCGGTCCGCTCCCGAGACACAGTCTTAATTTTTCTATCTTCAAGCTCGACCGTGTTGTTTCTGTTGCAGACAAGGCTGTCGCATTGTACAGAGCTGGGTTGTCTGCTGTGCAGAGGGGAGACGCCAATAACATGACTACAACAGATGATGATTTTGACCTTGAGTTCATTGCGCACACCGTGGACAAATGTGCGGCCAGAGAGAGAGACGAAAAAAGTTTGTGCGCAAGGCCATGAAAAGGAGAAGAAGGGGTCCGGAAGTGGATCGAGGGGGGTTGGGGATGGAACAATGCCAGGGTGGGGAGGGAGGTGGGCAATGATGTTGGAGGGGACATGAGTTGCACCTCCACTGACAGTCGGTGGCATGACACACAGCCAATGAAGACCAAAGTGTAAAAAGAGAGAGAGAGAGAGAGAGAGAGAGAGAGAGAGAGAGAGAGAGAGAGTTACTATTTGAAAAAAAAAGACTATGGAGAACCCTTTGGGTTGAGTGTACAATAAACAAACATGTGTTATTTAATAAATGGTTTTGTACAAGACCTGTCGTGGATGTGTTTCGACCATCACGTAGCATTTGCGTTTCGCATCTCACATTACTCACTATCAATTTATTGTACACATTGTTGCTTGTCTTGCAAGGATACACAATGCGTCATGTGTAATGTGGACCAAAATATGTCAACGTATGATTTTGCAAGAACATGAATCGTGTTTGATAAAAATGAGCAGAAAACGGATTACGCACTTCCAAAAATGTTGAATATAATGATACAAAGCAATATTGGGCAGACACTAGAAAACATGTTCATTTTAATGTTGGGTGAGAAGTACATGACTGGTTGACTACTGCGTGTCATGTTCTTGTCATGCATGAGCATGATGCTGGAAATTGGCACCCGGTAGCCAACCTTCGGACATTTCGTTCACATCCATCGGACATTTGCCTATGGCGTTGCATTCAAGGTTCACAGGAGCTACACAGGGTAAGATGAAGGTGATAATAGCAACAGGGCCAGTTCTCTGACATCATCAGTTTGGGAGGGAAGATGACTCTCTCTCTCTCTCTCTCTCTCTCTCTCTCTCTNTTCTCTGACATCATCAGCTTGGGAGGGAAGATCTCTCTCTCTCTCTCTCTCTCTCTCTCTCTCTCTCTCTCTCTCTCTCTCTCTCTCTCTCTCTCAAATTTCAAATATTCCCAACAATATCTGAAATGTTTAACAGTTGATCAACAACTTTTCAATAATATTTCAACAACTTGTCAACAACTTTTCAACAACTGTTCAACAGTTTTTCAACAACTGAACAAGTGTTGAACACAGTGCCGCATGTTTATGACATATGTTATCAACGTTGAGTTCCTTCACTTTTGGTGGAACACATGACACTACCCCCGCCAAACTGTTTATTAACACGAAACCAACAGTTTAAAAGGGGTGCCCACATTTGATAAACCGCAAAAACAAATGCCCACAATTTTTCTGTTGTTGGGATATTAAGACGATATATATATATGTATATATATATATATTGTCACAAAACTATTCACTAAGACCGCAAGCACGTGAAGTAGAAGGAGAAATAAGATGAGCGAAGAAAAGAAAAATGAAATGATAGACAGGCAAAGAGACAGACAAACCAGAATGACACAGAACAGTGTCCTCTTATTCTTCGTTTCACTGTATCCTGAAGAAAGGACAAAAATCAAAAATAAAAGCACATTGAAATCATTCAGTTTCTCAGTCTTCTGAACGCCTCCTCCACCGTGCCTCTAACGTACAAGGTTCGCCACGTTGATGAAGTTGAGCGCGAGCTGCCCCCATCCCCGTATGCCATAACAACCCACTTGCACACTATGGAAAAGAGGCAGAGTGAAGGAAGAGAGGAGCAGACAGGGTAACCAGCAGGCAGAGGGAGGGAAAAAAAAAAAAAAAAAAAATTGTTCACACAAACATCTTCTTTCTTTTACTGCATTCTTATTTCTTGCAGTTTTGGTGAAGAGTCTACCACGTTCGGTTTTCAGCGCACCTGCACTTCCTTCTTCATTTTACAATCTCATTTTTAGTCTTTGGACTTTTATTTTTCAGGTGTTAGGGTGCAGGGTACAAACAAAGTAAAATGACACAGACTTATATTCTTTTTTTACTGCAACATTCTTCACAGTTTTGCAGTTCTAGTGAAGGGTTTCTCACTTTTGCACATTCTTGTACATTCTTTTCAGCGCACCTGCACATTTTGGTCAAGGTGCAAGGTACGTCTAAGTAAGACCCTCAC